AGCTAGTATCATTTGTACACATGAATTAATTACTAAAATAAATACCTGGCAAGATACGCCAAAGTTAAAAAAAAAAATATATATATATATATATATATATTTATTATATTAAACAACTTTTAAACTTATATAAACATTAAATTATTTTAGGATCCTGTGATTGGATTTTAATAATTTTGGGCTTGTTAGAATTGTCTTATTGAGATGAATATTTTGATTATTAAATTATTTAAACTAGATTTGTGAATTAAAAGTTATTGATAATTTTTTAAAAAATTTTAATTTTACTATAAAAAAGTAGGTTTTTCTAAAAATTTTACAATTTTATAAAATTTTAAAAAATATTTAAAGCTATTTAAATTTTATTTATCCAAATATATAGACTTAAAATATTTTTAAAAAATATTTAAAACAATATTTAATATGTTAAATTAGTAGATATGAGTTTTTAAAAACTGTCACAATACAAAGTTTACAAAAAAATCTTTAAAGAGAGAACTCTTTCCGACGATCATTTGGACCAACCTTACCGACGAAAAAAAAATAAAAGTATGCTGGAGTTGGAGCTGAAGTAGACGCATAGTAACAGTTTTTATAGAGATCAACCGGGTTGTCTTGCTTTTTCTTTTGGCTTGGAGACTCCTCTATATATTTATCATGCAAGTTAGAAGTGTTCTTGTACAAGATAACTGGCAGGAGGGTGCGCCCTTGTGCAAAAAATTCTAATGGAAGAGGTCTTTCACTTCCGATAACGAAGTTATATATGCACCTGACTTACCTGGAGAACAGCAGACAACTGTTTTAAAGAAGCCTCACACTCTTTTACTTGGCCAAGTGGTTCCTACTTTACTATTACTCACCTTCCCATCGGTCTTCCAAAATTTTTTCTAAAAAGTGGGGATTTGGCTTACCCCTCCAAAAGATCGACATTGTTTATCTCCAAATCCGGATAGGCCGGTAGATAGCAACACGTGTCCAAAAATGGAGACGACGTTCAAGTGCTGGAACGGGTCCCAGTCAAAAAAGGAATCCCTGATTACGGCAGCAAGTAGCTTGAGATACGGGTCTACGGACGGCGGCAGCACTTGCTTGAGATACGAATTAGGTTTATAGAAATTTCCGGAGTTGGGTCGGAAAAGAAAATAACGATAAGGCATAGTCTTACAGTAGAGATATACAGATGTTGCTCTTGTATATAATTTTTATCAACCTGGCACGGGTTATAATAGTGCACTTCCGTTTCTTATATGTGTCAGGTTCGCCTGTCTTTTTTTTTGCTTTTTTCATCTTTTTCCCTTTATGTATAGATAGAGTTTAGGGTTTGTGTTCGATTCTTGTTTGTATATGCCTTAAATTTCCAGTCTTTCGTAAATTTTGGCATTATTGTCTTCCCTTATACAAACGTAAGAGATTTAATTATTCTGCCAGGATCTAGGTGAAAAAAGTTTTAAAGAAAGATGGGTGATCTTGACAAGGTAGACAACAACTTGTCTATAATCAAGGGGGGTATTCTTGTTAGTACGAAATTCGATGAAAGTGTTGGATCCTGAGTAAGACAAATTGTTGTTATAGTGGGTCACATTGGGCATTTTGCTTGGTGAGTTTTTTATTAGACTAGAACATTATACTATAAAAATGTAAGTACATTGTACGATCATTATAATAGTAGTTCTAATGAATAAAGACAAGATTGCTTAAAAAAAAATAATAATAATAACTACCTGAAATTAATTGTTAGAGCTTGTCTACCTTTGCTAAGTATATTATAGCAGAAAATTGCCATTTTTAAATTTTATACTGCAAGATTTTTATTTTAATTAGTGCTATTTTCAAAATAGATAAAAATAACAAATAACTTTTTTTGGTATATTTTAATTACCCTAGTATATTAATTGAAGATTGATAATTGATTTTATATAATTGTTTTAAACAATTATATAAATTAAATATTATCTTTAATTAATATTCTAGTGTATATATATTTTAAAAAGAAGTTATTTGCAATTTTTAACTATATTAAAATAATATTATAAAATATATTTAATTAAAAATTAAATTTAAAAACTAAAAAATAATTTTTATTTTATATATTATAGACTTTTAAGGTAGATTCAAGAGAAGGTTACTTGTCTCAAAAAGATTATAGAATTCTAGATGAAGAGAAAAAGTTTTGGTATGAGGAGTTATCTAATGAACTTGATTTAACTGACTCTACCTGTAATTTAGAAGATGAAAAAGTTTTTAATAGAATCAAAAACTTAAATATTAAAAAAGAAGGAAAAAAAACAATTACTTTACTGAATTTTTGATTTTTTAAAAATATTGTTACAATAAAGTTAATATAAATATAGTTAAAATATTATTAACATATAATAATAATATAATTATAAGAGTTATATAATTTAGCATATATGCGTAATAACACACTTACTGATTGACCAATCAGAATTTAAAATCAGGTGTAATATGAAATAGCGATCTTTTAAAAAAATCGCTTGTAGCTAAAAATTTTGCTTATAAAACCTCTCTTCGTATACTAACAAAAAAAAATTTCTTGCAAAATTTTGGGTTAGAACTTTTTTGCTAAAATGCTCTAACCTAATCCTAACCTAACTCTAACCTAACCCTCACCCTAACCCTAAACTAATGAATTAATTTATTGTTTTGTTACACCTGATTTTATAGATGCGTTACAGTGCATATGCGCAAAATAATATAATTCTAATTATAATATTTTTAAATTAGTAATATATTAATTATATTTTTATCATCACACTCTTTCTGACGATTACTTGAACCAAATTTCCTAATGAAAAGAAAAGCCTATTCAATACTAAAAAGTAGTAATAACCTGTAGTAAGATGAATCAACAGGGCGGTTTTTATAAAGGTTAATCTTCTCTACCTGTTGGGGACTCCTTTATATATTCGACATACAAGCCAAAAACATCAGTATACAAGATAACTGGCAGTTGATAGTGCTCTCATATATGAAATTTTGGTAGATAGATGGAGGTGATAGAAGTCCAAGCCTACCGTCGACGAAGCTATTGGTTGCAAAACAACTGGGAAATAGTAAAGAATGAGTTTTTCTCAAGCTGCTCTCTTTTATTTGGTTAAGTAGTTTCTCTTTTACTTTTTCTCGTTTTCTCGTTGGTCTTTCAAAAAATTTCAATAAAATGTGAAGATTTGGCTTACACCTCCAAAGGATTGGCATTGTTTATATCCCAAATTTGGATAGACTAGCAGAATGCAACCACGTGTTTGTTTACGGACAGATATGGTACTACTTCACAGGACTTAGCCTAGGAACTCTAATTACGGCAGTAGGTGGCTTGAGATATGGGTCCTTTT